TACTCCAAGCTTACACATGGCTGGAACTTGGTTCTGGTCTAAGCAGCGCTGGAAAAACTGAGCTAAATGTGATACCGGTTGGCTTGCTGCTGCTTCCAGTGCCTCTGGACGAATGGTGTCGACACCCGATGAGCTGTGTTTGTGTAGAGACGTCAGCTTTTGCAATACAGCCTCCGCAGTAAGAGTGATGTGGGTTAGTCCTTGTGAGGGGAAGACAAAGTTTGCTAGATCGCTTGGTGACAAGACCCTTTGAAAGGTAGGGGCGTATTGCACCTGCAGCGCGTTTGCTGCTTCCACAGCCGTTCTTGTTGGGCCATCAGCCGTCCTGAGTGGAGGAAATCCTTGCCTCACATTTCGTAGGCTATTAAGGTGCTTGTACAGCAGTTTGTGGTTAGCACTGAAGGCTTTTGCGATGTTCTGCTGATAGGCGGCTTTGGCTTCTCTTAACAGTTGAGTGCAGTGGTCACGTTGGGCTACGTAGCTGTCCCAAGTTTCTGGTGCTGGAGCTTCTCCGTACACTCGCCATGCTGCGTTGCGTACTGTCATCCATTTTCGAGTTTTGCTCCTAACGGAAGAAACTGATTTGCACTTATTGCAAGTTTTTATCTCTGAAGCCTCTGCAAGCAGCTGACCGAATCTGTTGACGAACTAGAGGCAGGCAACTTCCGGGGATTCTTCCTCGAGGAACGACCAACTTGTGGCACTGACAAGCTGGGCTAATCGATTGTAGCTTGTGATGGTTCGCACAATCTCATCGTTGTCATTCAGATATTCTGCATAGCAGGCGAAGTTGAAACTGATCATGGCGTGATCACTGCGACCCAACGGCAGTCTAAAACCAACATATCAATCATATGCTCGTCATTGGTAAGCACAAGATCCAGCACAGATGGCCTGTTACCTGTTCTGAACCGAGTGCGTAAAGTGAGTTGAGTGTAAAGAGGAATAGTGGTTGCGAGGCCTTGTAGATCGGCTTTGAATTGTTCTTCGATCGTGGCAGGGGTTTCTACACAATGTACGTTGAAATCACCCATGATAAGAATGTGAGTGTACTTTTGTTGTAAACTGCACCTTAAAGCACATGCTAGGTGGTAGTCGTTTTCGGGTGTAGAGTTAAGAGCGCGGTACACCACGACAATAAGACAAGCGTTCCTGTCTTTTAACTGCAACGGGCACCAAAGAGATTCGGGGAACTGCGAGTCTGAATCCTCCACGGCTTCGCACTGTAAGTCGTTACGATAATACAGGATTACCCTCCTCCTTTTGTGAGCCAGTCGTTCTGGATCAGCGACATGCCTGGTAGCAAAACTTCAGCGTCCATGATTTCCGTGTGCAACCACGTCTCGGAGATACAAATAACATCATATGACGCGGAAGCTTGGCGATCTTTCATTTCAGCCAGTTTATTAGAAAGACCCTGAGCATTCGTATACGAGTAGGCCAGTTTCTCGGTCTCTAGGAGCACACAGTGTGGTGAAGCGGTCACCTGTGGGAGAATGTCGACCGATGGGAGGTCGACAGTTACTCGTTTTTTTAATGGATCAATGATACCTCGTTTGCAACTTGATTCGGCCAAGGTGCGTCCCAACCTTGCTTTAGACCTACGTCAGAGTCAATTAAAGCAGCAGTCAAGTTACGCTTCTGTACATTTGTTGGTATGCTTGCTGCTTCAGTTGCTTTAGTATTTGAGCTGTGCAAAGCGTTTTCGACCTTGAACCGAATTTCGGAAGGAAGATGTTTTCAATTTCTCCGCCATCGATCTAAGACATCCTTTGCTTGTTGCTCTGAAGGAACCACCAGTTTTAGGATTCTAGGGCCGCATCCTCTATAATTTGATGACAGAGGTATCCTGGTGAGCGATAGTGCCACAATATTATCCATAAATGTGTTTCACGAACGAACCGCCACTGTTCTAAATCGTGCTTTCCGGTCTCTTGAACATCGTTAGTAGGACGTTCTAGCATGCCATGTATGAAGATTGTGTTTAGGCGGTCTTGCTTGCTGTGCCCCTCTTCGCTGTCTCTTTTGAATTATCGCGCGCTCCAAGGGACATCAGGATAGATACGTATCCTACAGGATTCATGTTGTAACGCGCTCGGTGGAGGATTCTAGAGTTGCTCGAATAAGTCTGGGTTCACCATAGTGTGGCGAGTTCGGATGACGAGTAATTCGTAACAAGTTTATGGGCTTGGCTTTGATACTCATCTGCATACACAATGAGTTCCATTGGTCTTGGTCGTCTGATAACTTATCCCGCAATGTGATGGTGGTAGATTCAGGGACATTTGAGCATACAACAGCCCAGACACTGTTGTTGGATCCCATTTTCGTCGATCTACAAGGTATGGCACTCATTTGTCCTGACTTGTTGACAAGTGATTGCTGTTTTTCTCTTCATTTGCGTTAACGGTGTTTACAATGGAAGAGGACGCAACGGCGGCCTCTCGGTGGACCCTTGCAGCAATCTCTGCATATGTAACCGATGTTCTGGGAGACTTAATCTCGACAAGAGGTATTTGAGCTACAGGTAAAAAGGGTTGGTGTTCGGCTGCTTCATCTTTGTTAATGCTAGATGTTAGGTCTAGTGGAATTTGGTTAACCAGACGTTTTGAATGGTGCCTGATTTTCTTTGCCGTGAGTACTGTTTGACTCCCATAGGTACGGTCTGTTTTCGCCCGGCGTTCTACCAAAGTTGGAGAAGACAACGGAGATGGAGACGTGGCTGATTGTGGTTCAGGGAAAGCGGATTTTTCAGCATTCCGTCGCTTAGAAGCAGCTACGCTTCTGTGGTGCATACTCGCTTCCATTGAAGTAATCTTATCGTTTATCCTCTGCTCTGCTTCTGCGGTTAACCGGTCGCATTTCTGAGCTAGGATAAGCAAGCACTTAACGAGGGGATGGTGGAGCAGGCAGTACAGAACCAAAATGCATCTTGGGAGCTATTCGCTCCCGTACTTGTTGTTCGGACACATTTGCACATTTCGTATGATACCTTTCCAAACAGTGAGAGCAAGCCAGACCGATTTTTACTACTCTATGACATTCTCCTAACCAGCAAATTCCTTTTGCTTGGAGCCTTTTCGGTTTCGCATTTCTGCCTTTCAATGTAGTGTCGTTGGCTGACCCAGTAGGTTGGTTAGCGTGCTGTACTTTTGCAGCTTGGAGAGCAACACATCGGTTAGGCGAGCGTGGTGGTTGTAAGGTCAACTGAGCGGTCGGCGTGGTCGCGCGATCCGTGTGATGGGTTATGCTGGCGCCCTGGCTGATAAGGTCACAAGGAATGGTGAGTGAATGGAACCCGCTAACTTAATCTGAACACAGCGCTGAACACAGATTGACAGATCACAAATTCTTTCACAGCTGTGTTGAGAAACTGGATCGGAATAATCTTAGGCTTTTCGGTCTGTCTCGAGAATTCTGTATCGAATTGTGTCACACAGAAAGGCAATCTGGTCAGTGTGATTAAGTTAAGCGCTTGCGCTTAATCACGCATGCCAGTAAAAACGGTTAGTGATGGCAAAGCCTCTAATCGTAGAAGATATTTCTACGTATGATGGATCACTGTGTATGGCTGGTAAATCCGGTTCGAATGAGCGTAGTGACAACGCTGCGAGAAGATGGAGAGAGGATAGAGGGGAATAAACCAAATGTACCAGGAGCACGCACGTCACGCGTGTGTGGGGATGAACTTGCAGTGTTCTAAATGGCTTGACACTGAGATCGTTCTATTTTATTGTTTGTCATCGACTTGACGAGAGTTATCGCCCCTAATTTATTGTTCCTTGAGGATGACACAACAATAAGGTAAGCAAGTAATTGAAGTGAAGATCACTAGTTCCTTCAACATGATCTGGATTGAGTTCGTGAGTGGTCCACGAGAAACCTACTCCAGTTCAATACAGCTAAGTGCAGTGTGATTCACAAGCGTCATCAGCCTGTGAGTGTTTCCTGGTCCGGTCTCGCGGAAGACCTCTCGGGAGCTTTATCCTGGAATACTGATTCAGGACGATCTCGGTTGCTCGAAACAACTAGGGTAAGTGTCGGGCTTCTTCGCAGAGCCTACGGTCAGTTTTACCCCTAAATTTTCGCACAAGATTTTAACGCCTATGTGCGACAGTAAGTGGAGGACGTCATCCAGACCTGCCTTCCGTCCCAGAAACAGGATCCCATTGCTGTCTAGACTCCGTGAGGAAGGGCATCCTAGAACGTTAAGGGTCTCTTCCACCTGCCTTACCAGTATACATTGCAGTCTTTAGGAATGTACGGCAGTAGATCTCGGCGCTTGCGGTGGTATCTCATACTAGGGTGCCAGATCCTGAAGAACCAAAACCACATTTGTCGTCCGCTGTTGGAAGCAAACCATGGCACCAACTTAAGAGTTCATCCGTTAAAAGCTGACAATACATTAAAGCGACTTTGAGTATGTTAGTAGTGGAGTGCTCTCCCAAATTATGTTACATCTGCCCCCAACCTAACGATAATTAAAGAACGAGTTGACGATGGATTGTCCCATTCGCATTCAGCAGGAGGATACATAAAGCAATGAAATAGTGAGCTTTCCAAATTATAAGAAGCTGGGTTCATATATCTTATCGAATGAGCACCACAGCTTTTTTGCGCATTTTTCAATGCGAACACCATGGTAATTACAACAAAACGCTTTTCGTTTATTTCATTTTATCTCTATGGGCTTAGCAACCACTACCTTCCAACGGTAATACGCCATTGCCTGACTTCTTTTTCATTTTTGTGTCTTAATCTCCTTTAGTTTAAGCAGATATTTAGTACGAATTAGTCTAACAATGAAATAGACTAAGTTTATTTATACCTATACGTAATAGCAAGGCGAAGGCGACCTATGGGTTTTGATGTGTTCAAAAGTAACGCATTTGGTATGCTTGATACAATTACCCTTTACCCGGGTATTAGAAAACTACATTGTCACCGTTATATGAAAAAAATCTTGTATTGGCCTGTAGCTCTGTAGATAGCGAAATTACCTCAGCAGAGTTAATGTTCATTTGAGTTCTGTTCCTCTCCATATGAGGTTGAAGCCAACCTCGATGACGCTAAGCCAAAACAGCAAGCCGCTTCTTTTGTTTTTCGGTACTAAGGCATTCCCCAATCCCCAGCCAATCCAGGATATCCGATTTCTCCACTGGGTAAATAGTGGGAACCCACCAACACTTTTCAGGTGGCTCTTGGAGAAATTTGTCCAATATAGTTAAATACTGCCTTACAGTGAGTCCAACTGGTCTGTCCGGCACAGGCTGTTGTGGAGTTTTTGGCGAAGGCGAATATTTTCGTTTGCTTCTTGGAGTTCGTTGATCCAGCTGAAAATAATGTAACCGGCTCATTGTTTTTAACGAAATTAAAGGTTGCTTAATAGACCTTGAAATTCAGCTTCGAATACACAGACGGCAACAGAATGCAGACTGAAGCATAGAAGGCATCATGTTTAGACTATTTTGGTCAAAATCACTTAAATTCGTGAAGTGCAATTTGTATCATAGTAAAACGTGTATACAATTTAAGCCATAAGTGTCATTGCCAACATGATATGCTAAAATTGTTCTTATTACTAGCCTAATTGCCATGTAAGTATGATTGGGTGGTATGTTGCGGAAAGCCAAATCATGTATCAGAGAACACTTAGGCAGTTATGATCCAAGACGAGTGACGGCTTCTTATGAGTTATTTCTGATGGCATGTTACCAATCGAAATCACACCATGTGGCTGGCCCAAACAGTTCATCATCCACGTTCAGTGTTTATCAATCGAGCAAGTTAATCCATCATCTTTAATATAGGGCGATGGGAGAGAAAGACAGTTCCCATAGGACTAGATGCCAAAAGCAGTCTTTTAATTAACAGACTGGTGGTGTGGACCTCGTTTTAACTGCATTAACCAGTGGTTATCACGTACTCATACACTGCTTACCAGGCAGTCTCCTGGTGGATTTTCCTATGTAAGTTAAACAATGGGAATGAATAACAGACATTACAAAAAAGAAAATTATGCCGAAATAAACCTATCCTTTAAGTGTTGGTAGATAATTCCCTTGAAATGAAGTCTTGTCATAAAATCACTGCTTACTATCCTAAATTCATTCTATTTCAATACCTTCAAGTGTCCCTTTAGCTATCCCGCCTTTCTCGGAAGATGGTGTTGGACAGACCGGTGTTATTTGGATCAAACTCGGTTTTGTCTTCGCTACTGAGGGGTTTGTATTCGTCTGAACCTGAGTATGAAAATGTTTAATGAGGTGTAACTCTTTGTCGGTATCAAAAAATGCCCGTTTCATAGTTAATAATACAAAATTGACCAGGTTAACAAGTCGACTGTTCCACCCTTCCCTGATGTAAGCCATTCACGTCCATAAAATTTTACCCAAAAATCCATAGATATAGCTAGTGTTCCGCAAAATGACCAGATTACAGCGACTAGACTACCATGATTAGTAAAGCTGATGAGACTGAGACTGAGACTGTATTTAAGAGCAAGTAGAAAGGTTTCTGTACAACTCTATCGAATTACGAAAAATCAAAATTTACTTGTGAATTATCAGCAGTTGTGCCTGGTCCGTTAATCGTTTATCCGTGTTCGGTTAGAAATTTGTACTAGCGTCATTTTTTCCGGACATACAATGTCTTCTTTTGGCACTGTATGTGCATCGTTTCACAAAAGCACAGGTTTCCAAAATAATCGTCGATACGGGTTTTAAAACACTTCACAGAATCGGCCTCTATTAATCCTTCTGGTAGTGTATTCCATAAGTTTACGATTCTTCGTTCGATACAAAGCTGATGTGATACTTTGTTCATACTTGGGACCCTGAGTTTGTAACGATGTCCTCGGGTGTTACAGGGTTCTCGCAGGTGAAATATTGGCCGTAGTATGGGGAAGTGATTCAAGTGTAGTACTCGATGGGTCATAATAAGATCAATTCTTACTCGGCGATATGATAGTGTGTAGAGTCCGAGCTTTTCACAACGTTTTTCATATGGAAGCTTTCGTAGACTTGGTATCATTCTAGTTGCGAGGTGCTGTATTTTCTCCAGTTTTTCAGTTTCCCATTGGGTTATCGGATGGTAAGCTGGGGCACCGTATTCAAGGATTGGTCTAATGAGCGAGATGAATAGACGAGGGACGGTTTCTTGGGACCATGTGGAGAAACTGCGTCGTAATGCCCAGAGCATACGAAGTCCCGCACGGTACAATTTCTCTGTATTTTCTAGTGATCTTAAATCATGTCGTGAGAGAACTCCTAAGACTCTGACAGATGGGTTGGGATGGAGCAACTGGCCGTCCAAGGTGTATGATCGAGTGGCTGGACGTCTGGTGATACTGATGAACTCCGACTTGCTTGCGTTAAGAGGGAGTTGCATTTCAGTTGACCACGTTGACAGTCGCTCTAAGTCATGCTGGAGGCGAGCGCAGTCGTCCTGGTTTTCATTGATCCTCCAGATTTTCAAATCATCTGCAAACAGGACACATGGTGACTGGAGCTGCTGCGGAAGATCGTTGATATGAATAAGAAATAATGCTGACCCAAGTACAGTTCCTTGAGGCACGCCACTGGTCGATGAGAACCATTCTGTCAGATAGTCATTGACCTGTACTCTAAACCTTCGTCCCACAATAAACTCTTGTATCCGCTGAAGTAACTTGCCACCGATTCCGCATGTCCTCAGTTTACGAAGGAGTACCTCGTGGTTCACTCTGTCAAACGCCTTACTAAAGTCGATGTACACCACGTCAACATGTAGGTTGCACACGCCAGATTTAATGGTGATGAGGGGACTACATCGAAATTCTACTTGAACTACAATTTGTTGTAAAAACATGCATGGTTGTATGTTTAGCGGAAAATCTTGACATTACATAGGACGTTTGTCGTTGAACGTTCAGACGGCGAAGGTATGGAGCTATCTTCCTTGATCATGGAAGCATTAAAGAACGAATCATAAGCTTCGTAGCAAACAGAAATCGCGATTAAACCGCGTACAATAATCTACCTCGACGGGGAATCGAACCCCGGTCCAACGAATTTCCGGTCCGCTGCTATACCACTGGGCTACCGAGGACTGGCGATTAGGTGCGCAAGTTAATACATGACTTCTGCATGGTGCGCGACGTATTGCCAATGAGCTCACAGTAACTGTCCTGGTGTTGCAGATTGGCACACTCACTCGTCACTTCCCAAGGGACCGAAGTAACTGTCCTTGTGAAGTCCAAAGGGCGATGGTAGATTCCTTGAAAGTGTTTGTGAGTAGCGTAAGGTTCGTAGAAAGTAGAAGTCACGATTAAACCGCGCGTGAGCTCATTGGCAATACGTCGCGCACCAGGCAGAAGCCTTGTATTAAATTGCGCACCTAATCGTCAGTCCTCGGTAGCTCAGTGGTACAGCAGCGGACCGGAAATTCGTTGGACCGGGGTTCGATTCCCCGTCGAGGCAGATCATTGTGCGCTTTTTAATTGTGACTTCTACTTTCTACGAACTTACGCTACTCACAAACACTTTCAAGGAATCATAAGCTTCACATAGAGCGAGTGGGCCAGTAAGTTGGTGACACTGCCCAGCTATTCCTCCGGTGCATGAATAAGACCTGTCATTCATGAAACTGCGTGGTAACTTCACTAGTTTCTTTCACTCGCACCACATAGGTATGATGTTCACTTGCTCCATTTTATCTGTCTTACTGGTGAACGTTATACAAAATCGATAAATTTATGCAGTTTTAATATTAGGTCATAACATTTTAGTCCTTTTTAGCGGTCATTAATAATCTTGTTCTCAAGTATATCGTAGACTCAATCACTTTATTATGGCTTTAAATGTCAAGTTTGTCTTGCGCGACGAGTGAGGACATGTTGGGATGGATCTGGTGATAGTACTGTTCCCCTACAATGCCGACGCTAAAAAAGGAAACTTGTTCCTGCTAAAAACCGGATTAAGTTATGGAAATGCTTTTAATCCACTCTGTGTATAACATTTTGTATAACCAAGTCAAATTTGCTATCTATTTTCACGCTTTAGATAAGCCGCGCTACCATGAGGTGCTGTCAGAGAGGCTCATGTGACATAGATTTGTTAGTCAGGGATCCCCAGTGTAAACTTTTTAATTAGCACATTGCTTGCTCTAGTTTGTCTGGGAACCCACTGAATTCAGCCACTAGCTCTAATAGTTAACAAGCGATGTACATGGAAATATGAGAATGGTTGTGGTAGTATACACCATGCTTCTGCACCGCAGTTGTGCTACACTGACTTACACATAAACTAGGTTTTCTTAACCTGGAAAAATGTCTTCCAGTTTAATTGATTTGCTCAGTCCTGCTTTTTTGCTGCATATTCCGTGTCATACATTCGTGTTTATTTTCTTGTAAAGTACTTGTTGCTTGTTTGATATCTCTTGTGTGGCTGCGCTTCTTGGGAATGTTAACAAGGTGCGTATTTTCCTAACACCCTCCACCCCGATTACTGGCTCCAGGAGACTGTGAATCGTTGCTGAGGTGACGGAATGCACGGTTCTCATGGTCTGCTATGCTCAAATAAGGTTTCATGAATCCTATGCGAAGCGGACTACGATCCAGTCATCGCTTTGTGTACATCTGGCACAATGGATTCCCAAATTGTTTAGATATGAATGCTACTAGTGTGCATGTAGAAGGAGTGTGGGCCGGCTCAGTTGAGGAAATGTAACTCCCATCCACATGCTTCCCGGTCTTATTCCTCTGGGTACGCAATGAATATGCGGTGTGTGGTTGGAGCCGTGGACGGTACAGCGCAAGTTAATCCATGGTCTCTCTCTAGGCGCAGACCTGTGTTTGTTCTATGGAGGCCGCCGTGACAGGAAAATCCGGAACCGGATACCGTCACCCATGCGTTACCTAAGTAATATTTGGCGAAATGAGGTCACCATAAACTACTTTTTTTAATCTAATGCGACAGGGTTGTAAAACCAAAGGCAATGGAGACGATAACGAAATGCTAACTTGTCGTTATTTGGGGGTTTTAGGCGCAGCTGTGAAGTACCG